TTTTTTCTTTCATTAAACAAGGGGTACCAACAATGTTGTCCATGAGAGTATGTTTGTTGCAGTATGTCTGCATAATTGATACAGAATACAGTATAATTAGGAATTAAATTCCTAATTATGGGAATTAAATTATTACCAAATTGATTGTGTTAATTTATTAACTCAATATGCCAATCAGAAGGTTTGGCAGCCATTGCACATAAATAGAGATTTAATATGATTAAGGTGACTAAGCATTGTTACAAATACAATAAAAAATAATTCTGCCATGTCAGTTTTTATATCTGCTGAGTGATAAAATGATGTGTTTCTTTTAGCTATCTTCAGTTGCTTGCACAACCATGAATTGGAAGGTAAGTGTCTTCCTGCGCCACTGATCTTTCATCAAGAGGGTTGAAAAGGAAATGTTGTTTTTAACAGACAGATACATATAATAACAACAAAGAAACAGACAAAAGGTTAAAAAAAGAACATCTCTGTTAGTTTGTGTTCCTCCTACATCTACAATTTTCATTTTTTTAACTCTCTACAATTTTTCTCCATTTGAGTACCTGCTTCATCCACCCACATTTACCAAGCCACCTTCAGCCTGACCCTTGTTGTCTAGTTAATACGCTCTAATTAATTGTGCATTGTTCATTTGTTGGGTGTCAGTTGCAGAGGCGACTGCAGCCTCCCCTCTCAGTGGAGGAAATATAGCACTGGCCATCTTCATCCTGGTTCTGCTGCTGTCTGTTCTGCTCGGAGGGGTGTATGTTTATGTCACCAGGTGAGTCCCACAGCTGGAACATGTCTGTCAAAACAACTCCTGGATGAGTCACATGAGACAGGAATTATTCATACAAAAAACATCAGCCAAACTCGGGAGTTAACTTATTTTATAAGCCAGGGAGCGTTCACATTTAAAATCAAGTTTAAAAAAAGATATTTGGTGTTTCAAAGATTTTTTTTTAAATGTTTGTTTACAATAAATGAAATAAGGCAAATAATTAAAAAAAGATTGTAGTAAATAAAATCAATAATTTTTAATGCCTATTGGGATATTTAAGGAGAAACAAGCAAACATCTTAAGGAACCTGACAGGATAAGCTGGTTATGTCCAGTCATGTTTGCAAATGTTCCACTTCAGCAGGTGCAAGGAAACGGCTCAGTGTAAATGAGAAAATGCATTGAACCATATAGGGACGGTCTGGGAGAAAAATATGTCAGAGATTACAAAACCTCAGGAATGGGGTGGAGCAGGTTGTTTTTACAAGTCCTGCAGGGTTTAAATGTTTGACTGCTTTAAAACGCTGATCCAGATGATTGCAAGTCAGCAAATGTTTGTTAATAATGGTGTAATTTCTGTTCCATTATTATTAGTGTTGCACCGATACCAGTAACGGGCGGGGCCTCAATCCAGCACTAAAATGGTGATATCAGTATCAGCGAGTACCAACAAATAGGGCACATTTTGAGAGCCAAAAGTTTATTTGATTACAGTATTGTCACCCATTCCAGTTAGGAAATAAAAAGTTCTACTGGATTCACTTTGTATTAGTCTTTTTCCTGCTTCACAAAGGTAGGCAGCAGCTTGATAAGCCATGATGGCATTTATTTTACATCCAAGTTGTATGCAGTTCATCATATATGCACCCACACATCCATTTCAAACAGATGGTATCAGTATCAGGCGATACTGCACAGCCAGGTATCGGGTATTGCAGGGTGACCAAATGTCCGTATTTCTCGTCCTGTCCCGGGCGTCCCGGTTTTTTTTTAGAAAGTGAGGAAATGTCCTGTTTTTTAAATTACCTTCATTGGACCATTAAATTTACAGGCACTAGGGCCCTGCGCACGACGCTGCGTGTGACGCAGCGATCCCTGAGCCGCGTCAGAGCGGGCAGCCCTGTTGTTAATCAGCATATAGATAGCGTGGCTGTCAGTTTGCCAGCAACATGCCAAAGCGCATATGTATGTTTAACAATGATTTACAGAAGAGTTTCCCCGCTTTCAGACCGGGTCGAGACAAATGGGAGGCCTTGTACACAGTGTGCAAAGCAGGCACATATGTCTCGGTGTCCAATGGAGGTGCGAGGAATCTGAAAAGCCACCTGGACACCCAAAGTAAAGATAGTCTATTGATATTTTGTTTGTTTTTGGTACATTTTGGTACGTTTTTGCTACACAAGAAGTATTTTTTGTTAATTAGCTCATTTGTTATTTTTTTTTCCCCAATAGCCTACAGAACAGACATTATTTTTAATTTTAATTAATTAATTAGTGAGGCTGAGTATCATCTGTTATTGGGAGTTGAGAGTTATTGTTAACTTTTATTGTTAGGTGAGGGATGTTTAGATGAGACATGAGACATGTTTAGATGATTACAGTGAGTGCATGCCACAGACATCTCTATGCTTGGGAACGGAGATCCCCCCCGCTCCAAGGTGTCCTGCTTTTCCCAAATGAAAATATGGTCACCCTAGGTATTGGGACCAAAAAATGGCATCGGCGCAATACTAATTATTATTACAAGTAAAGTAAATGTTTTGTAAAAAAAAAAAAAAAAAAAGGCAATTTAAAGAAAAAGCTTTTAAAATCGTATTTTTATCCCATATTATATTTTCCATTTTTTATTGTATGCAGACATGAAACTGAGAAATTTAATTAAGAAAAAGGTTTTTAAGAGTAACTTTACTGTTTTCTCTGATTTTATTTTCTTTCACATTTTTACTTATTTATTAATATTAATTTCATTTTAAATCCATTTAATAATTGATAGAACTTTTTTTTTATATATATATACTAATTATTTTTAAGTTTTCTCCCCAAATTTTTGTTTCCAGTTTTATGAATTGCACTCTTTTCAAATTTCAATTTACAAAACATGTTCTTTGCCTGATAATCATCACGATAATGGAACAAAGTATACTGTATGATATTGTAGTGAAAGGGTTTCAACAGCGCGGACCCGGGGAGGTAAAAATAAAAATATACACCACTCTCTTCAGACCTGTGATTATAACACTAAAAAAAAAAAAGTCAGTTTATTCGTTTTTTTTTTTACTTCACAAGAAACAGCTTATATTTGTAAACTGTAAAATATTGAATATAATATCAAGATCATGGGTTTTTTACAAGGTGCTTTGAAATTACATGGAAGAAACTGTTCAAGAATATTGTGGCTGTTTGTCTTCTAATTTGAAATCAAATGTCTTTTTTGTAATTCTTTTTTTATAGATTTATTTTTTAAAACAGTTTTTTTTATGGCTACCTGGGTATAATTTAGCTATGAATGGAAAATTAAACCATTGCTGTGGTCAAAACATTCTTATATAGTGTCTAATTGCTGTCTTTAACATTTGGATTTCCTTTTTTTGCCTCTCAGATGCAGATATCACACCAACCTCAGGATGCCTCTAATCTACCCCCACCCGTACAGACAGATCACTGTGGAGACAGAACATGACAACCCGCTCTATGAGACAGGAGGAGTAAGTTTCCAAATGTTAAAACTGCCGCAGAACATTTAAAGGAGAAAAATAATCACAACTTAGAGGCAGAAAACCTAAAAATCTCTTCTTTTTTGTTGTGAAGGCAGGCTATTCACTTAAAAACATTTCTTACACAAATAAAAGACTTTGGGGCCACATCTCTCATAGGAGGGAAGAATTGCTAAACGACAAGGGTGTAAATCACTGCTGAGATCATGATATGATGTTATATCTATTTGTTTGGACAGCCATATGGCATGGGGTGGGATGGATTGATGCGATAACAGCTTCCGTTCTACTGGCGGGTTCACACCAAATCCATAAATGCAGAATAAAGCACTGACTCACATGTTCACATCCCTTTTTAAAGTCTAGGACCAAAATATCTGTGGTCGGCCATATAAAAGAGAAAGTTTTGGATGGTGAACAGCGGACCCAGTATTCAGGCAAATAGATAAGAACAAGAACAGGCAGGCTCAGAGGTCCAGGAGTCCAAAGACAGGTCAGGCAAACAGATCAGAACAGGAACAGGCAGGCTCATTGATGAGAGGCAGGTCAGGATGAGGTAATCAGAAACATTAAGGTACGCTAAAAACATTCTCACCACAGGCTGGATACAACAAGAATGATCTAGCACCGATGACTTGATAAGAACGGCTTAAAAATGGGCAGGAGCAGGTGGATTATATAAGAGGTAATGAGCAACTGGGCAGAATTGGACAGGTGAATGAAATGAGTAATTAAGCCAGAAAATATGGACACTAATTACCCCCAAAGAGTTCAGGGGGAAACAGATGCGGCATCTGACAGCAAAAGCTGAAGCAGCCTGACCACGCAGGCAATACAGAACCCCCTGTATGCCTGAAAAACACAGTCTGACAACAGAAGGCCACAGTCTGTGT